GGGGCCCGGGCGCCCGGGGCTGCGCCTTGTCCCCGTCCCCTGCCTCGGGCTGCTGCCCCAGCGTCCACCGAGCTGCGTCCCCGGGCTGCCCGGCTCTCGCGCCACACCCACCCTGCCCTGCTCTCTGCCCCGCGGCGTGCAGCGCGCCACGGCTCTGCCCGGCACTGACTGGTGCCACGCGGATGGGATTGACTCCAGCACCTCATTTAACTTTCTGCCACCATCACCTCCTCCCCCCGCTCGCAGCCACCCGCCCCTTGGGCCCAGTCCGCCCTCCTGCCCTTGCCTTCCCGTTCTTTGGAGCACGAGGGAGTTTGGTTTTCAGTGGGAGATGGAGAATGCCTCCTGCGAATACAGCCAAAATCCTGCTCAATGTGCGTGGCAGGCGTAATACCTTTCACACCAAACTCCATCTTCCCCACATGGGGACCCCTCAGCCGCTGGGCTGAAAGCCTGTCTGTTATTTATTTGCATTGGGTTAGCAACTCAAGGCTCTTTGCTAGAGCTGTTCAAATAACGGTTCAGCTTGAGAGGGGAGCAATAGAAAAGTTGTTCAGGGTAAAGTGAAACAGTTTGTTTGACCCAACATTTAGTTTAGCCCTTTCTATTTTGTTTTTATCCATTTCAAACTCATGTTTAATTTTTTTTAAAGTTGCTTCAAATTGCCAATTTGACACATTTCATGTCAAGACTGCAAAAGTGAAAGGCTTTGTTTGTTTGTGAGGACTTCGCCTATCTAACACCACTATCTATGACTTGTGTTATTTTAGTTTATCTAGCTGAGGTTAAAATTTACTTACTATCTGGGAGACCACACTTAAATTCTAAAGAATGAAATCAAGCTAATTGGTTTGGTTTGTGGGTTTCTGTTTTTGTATTATATTTCTTTCATTAAGGATTGTTCACAAACAATTGACTGCCAGTAATACATTCCTGTTGTGGAGGTATAGTATGGTCCCAAGATATTAGGTATGAAGAAATAATATCTTTCATTGGACCAACTTCTGTTGATGAAAGACACTTTTGAGCTATAGAGAGCTCTTCTTCAGGTCTGGGATAGGAACTCAGCATGATCGATACTAATATTTACAATTTAAGCAGTTGCTTAATAGCGCCTGATCTGTTAAGAGACTTGCTATTGATCCAGCTCATCAGTCAGATGAGCACATAAATGCTTCCACAAGGAAGCTTCCATATATGTTTGTGTATTCCTCTTTGAAATTCGCATTCTTCAAATGAACATTCATTAATGCCTATCTAATTGATTGGGCATGGAGGCAGAGGGACAAAAATACCACACTATGGTGTATTTGGTCCAAGCAAATTAATTAAAAAAGAAACTAAATATTCAGAGATACTTTTTGCAGATACTTTTCTCCTGTATTAACCATGAGTAACGAAGAAAATGTATTGACAGTACTTATCTTTTTCCTAATGCAGAGTTGGTCTGTTTTACCTAAATTGAGATTAGTGCTGTCTGAATCCATAGTTTAAGATTTGTAAAAAATTAAACTAAGGTCTGTTTGAATATTTTGATTAATGGTTTTAAGAATGCAGCATGCATAAATATCTAATTACTAATGTAAAACGTGACAGTAAGTAAAAGTAGAAGAATATTTGCCTGATATTTGCCTACTTCCTGTGTCTCTCAAAAGATCTTTATATTTTCACAAAATAATGTGATAATAAAATTAAAGTTGAGAATTATAATGATACAAATATCCCTCTTGTGTTAGTAGAAAAATAAAGATTATTTGCTTTTTAAGCACCAAATTCAGATACTTGAGATGCCCTTACTTATGCTGAATAGAATCTTATTCCACAAACCTGCTTCAACAGTCCTAGTCAGAGAGTTAGATACTACAGTAGTTAGTGTGAGTAGGGGTATCAATTGGCAGTAAATTACCTTATTTTTAAAAGTTATGAAAATGTTAAAGTCAATGTCCTGTCAGATTTTCCCAAATTAAAAATGTATGTAGCTGATTACATGAAGTTTTTGATTGTTTAAATTCAACACTTATGAGCAATAACCCAGTGTTCAGGTACAAAAGAAGAATTGAAATTTGATTAGGAAACATTTGTATTTTAGATAATTATTATGCTTTCTAGCAGCAATTAGAAACACAGTCTTTGTAAAAAATATCAAGATAGTCATTTTAAAAAGAACTGTTATCCAGAAAATATGTATTTTTAAAATTGCTACATTAATTATCCAAATGCCATAGAATCTCAGTTGTAAAATAAAAGATAAAATAGGGATGTAATAGTGTAATTGATTAGCCGATAAGCAACAGCTTATAGGTTAATGCGATAGACTACATGCATTTTCCTTCTCCCTCCTTCCCCAAGCCCAACCAGTACATTTTTTAGCAGGCTGGCCAGCAGCCCAGCTCAGTTCGGGCTCATGCTGGATGTGGGACCTACCTCTGCTGTGGCTCTACATTTAAAGTGTATTAGGAGCCGGGCAGGTAGGCATTTAAAATATATTAGGAGTTGGGCAAGCAGGCAACCTGGCTCAGTTCCGGTTTGTGCTGGGTCCAGGAGGTCAGGCCCTGTCCCCCCACAGACAGGGGCTGCTGCCACCCTGCACTGCTGCCTCTTTATCAGAGGCAGGAGCACAGGACAACAAGCAGCTGGTTCACAAGAGGAACTGGTTTTTAAATTGGCTCCTCTCGTGGACTAGCTCCCACCTGGCATCCCGCGCTGCTGCTGGCCCCGCCCCCAGGGACTATAGAATAGTCGACTAACTGATAAGAATTTGTGAGGTTACTTAACTATTCAGTTAACTGATATTTAACATCCCTTGGACAAAATTCTGGAAGTTTCGTCATTGTTTTCAAAGCATCTAGGATTCCACTCATTCTGTTTTGGATTATTATTGAATACTTATTTGGTTTGCCCACACAAATCCTCCTCTTCATGTGTAAATGGAACATTTAAATTCATGACTTTTGCATATTAGTCACTGAAGGGCTGTACTTCTGAGTTTAAAAGCCATTTTAAAATGGCCAGGCTCTAACTCCTGTTGCGTATCAAGTGACCACTTTTATCTATAAGTGGACCTATTCACTGCACTCAGACTCTTAGGACTATTCAGTATAATGCAGAGTATCACAATCTGTCCCAAGTATTTTTTTTAATATAGCTCTAAATTCACCCTCCAGAGAAGCTGTTTGGGATTTACTTTCTCTTAAGGAAGGTACAATCTGGGGCCTACAACAGGAACACCGTTGTAGCAGATTTTCAGTTAGAACTAATCTCTGGATGGAACAGAAAAACCAAGATAATGTTTTACAAATAAGAATAATGCTTAGCCTGTAACTCAGCCAATGAACCATTATGTTGAAAAATGTAGATAAATTTTCCCCAGTAATTTCTAGAACACTCATTTCCATGAAATGTCTGGATTCAGAGTGACACTATTTCTCTCTCCTTTTGTGGCCTCTATTGTAGACATTGGCGGAAACAATCCATGCATTTGTTTTACTAACAATTCTACTTCAGATGATGAGACCACCCTGGTAGGAAAATGAACTTGAATGGTTACAGTAAGTTATATAAAAGCTCTAATTTGTAATGTCCATATCTTTGCTGAAATTTAAAAAGGGGAGAAAACCATTATATTACACAATATATAGTTCTGGCTCTAAAATGAATAATGACACACTGTAGAAGAACTGCAATTTACCATAATGACATGCCACATAGCTGTATTTAGAAGTTATCGTCAATTAACAACCCCTAGCTGTGATATGTAAAGGAGTATACCAAACAAAACAAAGGTACCCAAACATAGCTCTATCTTATTTTCTACCAATAAGATTACGTATAGTATCCTTTCTAAGTAGGCTTTTATTCTGTTAACCCATTTATCATCAGACCATACATATGCGCCAGCTAGTGCAGTATTCATTCTCCACAGACATAGGCACCAGATGACTCAGGAAGGTGCAGGAAACCCCATAAAGACAAATTTAAAAAAAATCTGTAGTAGGCAGCTATCACATAGTACTAAAATTGCACTTGAAGAATTTATGCTCGTACATGTATTTTTTTCCCATTACATTAACCCTTTTCTACAACTTCCATAGAAAAATATTTGGAATTTGCGCCATTATTGCTAAAGTCC